GATGAAGCCCACGTAAAGTATTAGGAAGGGCCTGGCACATGCATGCACCTCGCATTCCTTGACTAGTAGTATCACTATTAGCTGGAAGTCCTGAGCTGTGTGGTCAGGCTAAGGGCTCTGAGGAGGAAGGAGCAGAGGAGGGTGGTAACAGCTGAGGAACAGACAGGGAAGGCTTCCTAGAGACTGTGGCACTCAGGCTGGAGCACAAGGAGAATTTAGACACACAGAGGAATGGATATTCCAGATGAGGGAAGCGGTTACTGCAGGAAGCCACTGATAGGGATAAAAACCAAGAGTGCTTAAATATGAACAAGGAAAATAAAGCTCACCAAAGCTGAAGACATATTTGATAACTTCAGATTAACTGAGATCAGGAGGGGAGTGGAAGGGAGAAGCCTCTATACATTTGTTGCAGTGCTCCTAAGATTTAACATTTAACTCATTTTTAGACACCTGTACTGGGAACACAAACTCACTCTAAGTGCTCAGTTCTCTGCTCTTGGAGCAGTGGAAAGGATGCCAGAAAATAAAAAGGTAAACATTTTTTTTTTTTTTTGCTGCAGAAATAGTCTGCCAGCGTGGAATGTAGGTCACCAAAATCAACTTGCCTCTTTATCTGTCCCTCTTTCAGTGGGAATAATAAGTGATGGCTTGAAGGAAGTGGGTAGGGGGCACTTCAGAACCATCTTTCAATTCCAGTCTCTATCAGTCACTCTCAGACACTGTAAGCACAATCTACATAAAAAGACAGTACACTTGCTAGGCAAATGTAATTTAAAGAGAGGTATCTGCCAAAGCAGCCTGCCCTGCCAACCGGACATTACCTCCAAGCTGCATCCAGAAGCTACCCTCCTTACTGATTTCTTAAATAGTATCTGTTTTATCAGTTGCCTCTAACCTGAGCTCTTGGTGACACTACTAAGAACTGATGCTGTGAGTGTTTTATATATTCACTTAGAAGATTTCTTCCATTACCAAGTTAGAAACTAATTCCAGAGTAAGTGACAGTCGTCTACATTTCTTTTTAAAAGAAGAAAAATCTCGAAACAAAACAGAAGAATTTTCATTTTGATTGTGCCTTTCTACAGATTAAACAACTTTGCTAACCTAAATTGGCAAAATTGCTTTGTTTCCTGCAATATAAGGATAAATCAACACTTGAAAATACCAGGAGCATGACACAAAGCCAAGGAGGGCCCCACGGAAGTTACAAGCTCTGCGATTATTCTTGAACCAAACACCTAAGGCTCTTAGTGTTACCAAGCTTTGTTGGAAAAGCTTCTTGCCCTGATCCAACAGCTGTAACGTTTTAAGTGATTTCACATAAGATTTCAAGATTCTCAAGCCAAAGCCACTCTTTATACTATCCCCCAAACATTTACAAAATGAAACACTTTCAATTTTAACTATGTGCTGTTTGTAAACACCCTATTTATTCTGATGACCACAGTACCAACACTAAAAGCAGCCTTTTAAACACAGTAGCTCAAATAAAACCACACACAGACACGCACACATTTTTAACACCCAGAGCCCATGTCCACAAAGCAAAAAAGCTGGGATTTAAATTCCTTGGCACCTACTCACTGAGTTCCTGTAAGCACACCCAAAGCCCTGACCCACAATACCCTCTTTACTATCACACCTCCCCGCTAATTTATACTTCTCAAAACCCACAGAATCCAACTTCTGGATAACAGAATGCTACAAATACTGGACAAATATCTCCCATCCCATTCTTCTCTTATATCAGTCAGCCTGGGACAACAGATCCTGTTTATAGAACGATTCCATCCCAGATGAGAGAGCTCGTGTCCAGCTCTTCTACCCAAATGGTGCCTCGGGAGCCTTTGGTGGCCTAGCAAAAGCCTCTGGGTATGGGCCTTTGTCTCTCCCCATTCTCCTGTCATATACCTACTGGAAAAGTTATCTGGACCAATGATAGTACAATAGGAATCTAGAAATGCCCAGTTTGGGATAATTAGAAATTATATTAAGACCTATAATAAGAATTGTAGGAAAAAAGGCCTCTGTGGGTGAATGTATTCCAAGAGCAAATAATTATGAAATACATCTATTTCATACACATGGAAGACCTTTACACTTCAAGTCATATGCTACTCAGGAGTTTTGGTTTATGCTAAGGTGAAATTGCTTAACAGAAAGCTAGGAAGATTATAATTGATGACAAAACTATCAGTGGAAAGAATACAGATCTTGGATCTCCAATCATGGCTCTACTACTTAGTATTGATTCAACAAATATTTATTAAATACCTATCAACAGTCAAACATTTCTTTAAATGCTGGAGAGACAGGGATGGACAAGATAAAGACTCCACTCTCAGAAACCTTAGGGGAGTTGAAAAACCCTTCACACTGGAATTGCTGTCAGAATTATAGGGAGACAAGATGTGACCAGATAATTGAAAGAGATTTTCAGTCGATGATACGTTCTAGGAAAAAACAGTGAGTGACAATTTCTAATCCTTTTTCCTCCTGAGGATGTAACCACCTACTTAAAAGATGATGAATGTCAACTACTTGGCACACAGCATCACCACACATTTGCCTACACACGTGTGCATTCACAGACAATCAGAAATACATATTCCCCCCTTAACTGCAATATCTGTCATAATCCACCTTGGTATGAAATGAAAGAAAAAAAAGGAAATAAAAGATTTGTATAATTAAATTGCACTTAATGCAATTAAATTACAAAAAAAATATTCAGGAAAAATCTGTAAAAACATCAAAACCTTACCAATCAATTCTAACATAAAAAGACAAATAGAAGTCCAGGGATAGTAATAGCATTAGAAATCATATAAATAGTAATATGGCTGCCTTGCCCACTTTGAAGGATTGCCACAAAGAGCTAGGCTATTTCACCATACAAGTAAGGCTCAGAGATATTAACCCAATGCCACATTGTCAGAAGCAGGGTTTAACTCTCATCTTCAGATTACTTTTAAAAATGTAAAGACAATGACCAACTCCTTAAGAGTCTCAAGATATCTAGAATCTACTTTAGAAAACCCTCTATCCCATTCTCCCCATATTACCAGTGACTAAGGTTCCCAAAGAAAGTGTTAACCGTAGGGTAGGGTAGCCAGTAATGGCACAGCCAGAGCAGGACCTAGGCTTCCTAGATTCCAGCCCAGTGTGTTCATTCTCAAGCACCTGCATCCTTCAGGCAGACTTTTGGATTTATGGGGCCCACAGGGATGACACTGACTTCCAGAATTCAATTTCTGATATTAATTGTCCCTAAAAAATTCCAGTGAGCGGCCCGAGGGCAAACTGAGGACCTTTACAGGTGGCCCGGGGGCTCTCTTCATGCAGAATAGAGTACAGCTGCCTCCAACACTATTAGGTACCTTACCAGGAAAACGACGCTTCTAGTCTGGGAACGAAGAGATCTTTCCATTTTAATTTTCACAGTATGCCTCAGTAAAAAGGCTCCACGCAATTTTTTCTGGAAGGGTGGTGACACCAGGTATGGGCACACCAGAAGGAAGGGAGTCTAAGAACTGTCCAAGTTCTTTACTAGAGCATGGAGAGAGCCCCAGGGAGGTTAAATGGGTGTGGAAGAGAGCAGCTGGGCCCCGGGCAAGCGCTTGACCACACCCACTGGCCACGCCCTCCCAGCTGCCCGCAGAGCCAAAACGAATTGAAACAGCAGTGAGAGCAGTTAAGATTCCGACGGCAGAAGTCGCCATGGCAACGGGATTCATCTTGCAGACAACTCTGATTCAATAAATTCACTAGGTCCATCTTCAGTCGCAAACAACTACCATCTAAATTAGGGAGCAAAACGGTCAAGGGTGGCATCTGCTCTTGATACCTGAAGGTGGAAATGGGGGAAGGGCGAATTGGGGGCAAGAGGCAGAACACCCAACCCTAGGATGTGAGTAACTTGAGAACAGAGCCATTAGAAGGGTTTGATGAATGAGTGAGTAAGCGAAAGAATAAAGGTGCTAGGGATAAGTAAAGGAAATCCTGAGACTTCATAGAGGTCTCGGGCATCGCGCACGTCTCCAAGCAAAGGGCAAGAGGATCACAAGCAGTTTTCGACACCATCTGGGAAAACCGATTACCCAGTCCTCCTGACCCACATCAGGCCTTATCATTAGATTATTACACACCCCGCACCGCCTTACCACCTCCCAGCCCCAGGGCTCAGGAAAGCGCTTCGCCCCAGCTCAGGCGCTCTTTGTCGCGGAGCAATCAGGGCCGGGGGTAACCAAGATGCTCCTTCCCCAAAGGGGCGGGAAACGAGGGCGCTCAGCGGAGCCTCGAACCCGTTCCGCAGGCGGCGCAGCCTCTCTCGTCTGTCCGCCAACACCCCATGCTCTTTCTGCAGCGGGGTTTACCCTCTTCTCTCTTTTGACACCTTTAACTTCCAACTTTGTCTTACTTGAGTCACCCTATTCCCTCTCAATGAGCCTTGAAGTGAGAGTGCCAGGGATGGTTGGTTAAGGGATCCGCTCGGAAGCGGATGGGTCAGTAAGTCCCTTCTTCCCTGTCTCCCCCCTCGGAGCCTCCCGAACCAGCAGTTCCCGACCGCGGCAGTGGCCACAGGGCCCGACCGAGGTCACGACCCCAGTGCCCCAGCCCCGGGATGCCTGCAGGAAGACGGCAAGTGGTACCCTGCAGGCTCTCTTGGCATAGGAGCGCCTCAGAAAAAAAGGAGGGAGGGACCCCCGTCCTTGGGGGGCGCCTTCCTCCGAGCTCGTCCTGATTTGTACCGCGCTTGCAGCCATTTTCCCAAACCGATCTTGGCAGCCGGGAGCTGTCTAGGTCCCGTTCCCACCCAGACCCAACCTGAAGGACAAGTTTAATATTTACCTACTGGCCCCAGAGCTCCAGGCAGGCAGCGGGAAGGCGCGCGGCAAACCCAGCGCCCGGCCTGAAGACTTGCGCCCACCCCCGCGCCACCGCGCGGTGCCATTTAATGAATGAGTGCTGCGGACGAGGCGGCGCATCCCCCTTACCTGAACAGCCCCTGCATGTTGGAAAGGCGGCTCTGCGCTCTGGGTACAATGGGATCCGGTTAAACAGTTTCCTTCACAGACGCTCGTAGGTTACCAACTCGCAGGTGACATCACCCTCTCCTAGCCTGATAGGATACAATGCGGCGCCCACTGCGCATGGACTCCCCGGCCAGGCCCTCAGATTTTTGGGAGTTGTAGTCTCTCTCTCCACACAACACAGCCTGAGTAGCGACACCACTGCGAGCGCAGAACTACATTTCCCGAAGAAGTCTTCGGCTTCTCCTGCCCCGCCCCTTTGTCCCGCCCCCACAGGGACCCGCCCCCTCCCCGCCCTCCTGCCTTGCAGCTTTTGCTGTGGTTGTTCGGTAACCGAGCTGCGGACCGCGCAGGCGAGCAGGGGGTCACTCTGCCGTCGTGCTTTTTGATTTGACCTCCAGAAGGCGCCGTGCGGGTCCCCAAGGGGTCCGAGACTAGTGCGCACCCGCCAAGCAGCTCTGATCAACCCAGCTCTGTGGGCCTCGGCTGGAAAGAGAAGATTAAGCCTTTCACTAACCTTCCCTACCACTAGAAACTAATTAATAGGACGCGCTGGTTTCTGGGTTAAATGTGGTCCTGGAATTCCCCCACGTTCTCGAGGGGGTGATGCCGGCCCCGGAGGAGATAAATCCCCTGTGTGCTCCACTTACAGTTCACCTTTTGTGTCTTCTCTTTCCTTTAACCACTTAACGGAATCCGGGTGACCAACCCGAACGCGGGGAACAGCTTAGTTGCCTGAGCTGACGGAATAACGGAGGCTATCACTAATAAAAATACGGTGAAATAGGCTAGACAGTCGCTGCAACCCTCGGTCAGGGAGCCATCTGCTGCTGCGGAGATAATACCACAGCGCAGCCATGCTTTTGTTCTTCCCTGCAGCGGACTTCCCCCTCTGAGGTTCTCAACTCCCAGGCAGACAACATCTTTGTTTAAAGTTTTAATAAATGGCATATACAGAAAGAGGTACTTTTAAACCCACAACACTCTCCCCTGTTTTTCTATACCTTTTTCTTCAAGTCTTTTTGAAATGACCTAAACCAAGCAACAATGATGCTGTTCAAGAATGCCACGATCTTAATAGTCCTAAATGTTTAGTCAAAGGTAACCAAAAGAGGTTGTGTAGCAGAATTCTGACCCTTTAGATTTATTTATAATATGTAAAATTTTTCTATGGCATTTTTTATTATTCAATGAATACCAAGTATTCAGAGCAAATCTCCAGATGTCTTTTTAAATGAAAAAAAAAATGCATCTAGTTATTCTAGTTGTAAAGGTAAATTATAATGGCATTTGATGTGTCTCAATCACATATAAAGATCAGCTCATGCCCGTAATTCCAACTGCAAAGTCTCTGGAAGACTACATCTTGTGAAAAAGAAAGTTCATAAGATTTCAAACAACTCTCTAATTATTGGTGGAAGTCTTGTCATTCTTATTTTCTCATTTCGTTATGCGACAGTAACTTGGGTCCAAGAGTAAAATATTCATGAAACTAGTTGAAGACTTCAGGGGAGAGGGAAATGCTTTGTATTGCTGAGAGAGGGGGTTTTGGTGCCGTTCTGATTTTCTTTTAACAAGCCTTTTCTGTATAAACACATTTTACTCCACTGAAGGAAGATAATTTTGCTGCTCTCCTGTTCTGAACTATTCCATTCATTTCAAACATTGTGTTAAATGGAACCCAAACAATACAAATGTTCCCTTGGCCATCAGATCAAGTACAATCAGTGATATTCTAGTTAATGGCTTTTAATGTATTGCAGTTCATTGTGGAAAAATATTCAGAAAGAAATTTGACCTGGAATGATTCTAAAGGTTCTCCTGGTTTTATAACTGTACAAAGCTTTTAGATGGAAACATAATCAGTGAGCTTGAAATTTACTGAGTCAATAAATTGCATGCGGAGACTCTCTATAAGTCAGGGCTTCTTCCTATAGATAAAAGTCTATTACTGAGGTACATTCTGAGGAGTAACTTTATAGGATAAATCACCTTAGAGCAATTTCTTAGGCCTTCAGCAATGAAGGAGAGGGTGGAGTTTTCCTGAAGAAATAAATTCCATTCTCTATGGCAGTTAATATTATAGGGCTGTGCCATGTTACACAGCCCATTTCCATATATAAAGGAAGTCATATATAGTAGATTCTAAGCACAAAAATGTGTGGATGTGCATGTATGAGTTGTCCTTCCTATTTAAATAGATATAAATATAGATAATAGATATCAAAAGCAAGGTGTTATGTTTGGAAGCATTTTTCTGTAAGTAGTAATGGATTTAACTGAACCCTGCACACTGTTTCATTGGTAACCAGGGAAACAAAGATGGCTCTCCAGCATCAGAAATGCAGTTTGTGGACCTGGGGCCAAAGGAAGATTAACAACTTCTATAGAGAGAGGAGTGAACTACCTCTCTCTGAGACACACACACACACACACACACACACTCACACTCACATACGTTCATTGTGTGTGTTTGTATTTAATTCTAGGTGACTAAGTAGTCTCATAAGCTATCAGAAACATCCACTCTGTCTAGCTTAATTTATATTTCTAAAGGGTTTCTTGGCTTTTTCTTTTCTTTTTTAGTGACTGCTGCTGTTCTAGAATGATTTTATGAAAGGCCTTGTACCATAATCATTGCCTATAATTAGGAACCTGTGAGACCACTGAAACTAGATTTAATTCACCATCATCATATAGGTGGAGAAGGGGGAAAATGCCATGGGGTATTTTGCTGATCTTTCAAAATAACCTCTAGTCTACAAGGTTTTACTCTAGATAAGGGAGGAAATGAAATATCAACCAAGAAAGAATTATAAGTTTGTAGCTTTGCATGACAATAGCCTGATGTTTTGCAACAAGTGAAGCTGTGTACTGAGCCCAGATTTTGGGTCATGGCATTTTACCACTTTTGAGGAACGTGACTTTATTGTGTGTTGCTTATTCTCTCTGAGCCTCAATTTCCTTATTTTTAAGAAGGTATTAGCAGTAAAACCTACTTCTTAAGGTTTCTGAGGATTAAATTAGATGAGACATATAAAAACTTTTCAAATGAAAAGAACTATACAAATGCTAGTTCATGTTACCATTTGCAATTTTCCCCTGAAGATTATCTAAGAAACGCCAGCCCAAATTATGGAACAAGTTAATAAAAAACCTACTTAAAATAAAAGATTCTTATTCTTAATAAGAAAGTATTTGAAATTATATAGTAAGCACATACTATCTCACTTATGTGTGAGTAGGCAAAATGTACTTTGAAGAAAAAAATAAGAAAGCCAAATTGATCAGTGCCAGTCCTTCTGCAGTGCCCTAAACTGTCCTCATCTCACAGGCGGCTTCCCAAGCTTCCCAGCCTAGGAAGGCGCTGCTGGGAGGCTGGAGGCAGGAGGAATCAAAAGCCAGGGTATTTCTGCACCTGCACAGAGTTGCCTTGGGTGATGTTTCTGGCAGAGGCAGCAGCATTTGCCCTGTTGGACTGGTCCATCATGGTTCCAGGTTCTTCCAAGTCACTCCAGCCTCTGTTAAGGCCACCTTGTCCCTTTGTCCCTCCAGCCTCAAGGTGGAGGCAGCTTTCTGCTGTTGTTAATCTCTTGCTGGATGTTTGGCCTCTCAGGCTTTCCATTGCTTTATGAACAATTCCCTCTATGATATTATATCTGTGTGGAATACTTAGAATGGTTTTTGTTTTCATGGTGGAATGCACAACTGATACACTCATGTCTTAGTTGAAGTTATTTTAGATGCAACAGACACTCTCTCTGGCCAGTTTATGCAAAATTAAGCAAACAATAGGATTCATTCAAAGCACTGAACAATTAAGGCCCCACCTATGAGCAGGAACCAGATCAGCTCCGGGTATCTGAACAGTGAAGTTTTGGGACCTTTTCTCCAGATGTTGCTCTAACAGACCCTAGTCTGTGTCTCTTTGCTCCCAATTTCAAATTCCTGAGAGAAGCTAATTGCCCTATTTCAGGGTGACTGTCTCTTCCTTGATTATCTACAGCAGTGGTTCCTAAAGTGGGGACCATAGACCAGCAGCATCCATATCCCCTGAAAACGTGTTATAAATGCAAATGCTTTGGCCCTGCCTACACACCTACTGGAAAACAACCTTCAGCAATGGGTCTCGCAACCTGTATTTCAACATATGATTCTGAAAACACATGAAAGTTTTTGAATCATTCATTTTTGGCAAAGATTACAAGATCCATGTGGGTCAAGAGCTATCCCTGTACATCTGGGCGTCTTCCCAGAGAGGAGAAAGTTTTGTGAACTTGGCAGCCACCCCAAGAGGTGTCAGGTAAAACTGGTAAAGCTGACAGGATCTTAACGGCAACATTTGGTTCTTCCTGAGAAAGAAGGCTTTGTAGTATTCTGAGCCAACTAATCAATGTAGTCACTGCACAAGCTCTTGGAGAAGATTCATTTCACTGTGTTTAACTGAAAGCTCAGAAAAGCTGAAAAGCCAGCACTGGGACAATATAGGGGATATGAAATGTTACAGAAACCTAAAAACAGTAGCAATAATAAAATCAGGCCATGGTAACAGGGGATGTGAAAATAACTCCAGACAGTCCAAACTCTCTACAGACCAGAGAGACTCTCTTTCATCCAAATAGCTCTTGAGAATTCAAAAACAGAACTCACCTTTGACTATATTATCTATGTTCCCTGTTTCAGCTTATTCATAACTGGCTTATGCTTAGCCCATCCATGAGTTCTGTTCAATTCTGAAGCCACTGGCTCCATGTGGCTATTAAACTAATTAAAATTAAATTAAATGTAGCAGTTCCTCAGTCAAAATTGCCATATTTCAAGCAAGGTGGTCACATGAGGCTAGAGGTTCCTGTATTGAATATCTCAGATATAGAAAACTCCTGTCCTTTCAGAAAGTTCTTTTGGGTAAGGCTGCTCCAGGGTCTTTTATCTCATGAATTTTGGGATCTTATCATGCTGAAACACACCTTTTTCCTCCATCTTTTCCAGGACAAATTCCAGAGAGAGAGAGAGAGAGAAAAAGGGAGAGAAAAAATCTGATAGTTGCATTTTACAATTTTAAACCAGATCACACCATGATAAAGGT